AGAACTTTACGGATATGATAGAACGACCCCGACGCAAAAGGGAACATAAATTGAGTGTATTAAATAAACTTAGTTACATTCACAGTATTGCATTGTCGTAAGAATGCATATTCATTACAGTTGTTACAAAACGTATTAGTTTCTCGTGAAATAACTTCAATTTGCACTGTATTGTATACCGAAGTGTTGAAAATAAGTAAACTATTAATTATTAACCTGGAAATTGATTATTTCAATCGACTCCGATAACTCGAAACCCCGCTAACTCGAACAGTTTTTCGTTTCCCTTCAGTGTTCGAGTTACCGGGGTTCTACTGTAGTTATTGCAGTGTGCAGCGTTACAAGGCATAAGCGACCAAAACATTGTAACTTATTGTAGTTTAACTTACAAGCTGACAAATTCACTAATAAGGGCTTTCTAAAACGAAAATTTGCATGAAGCCTAAACTCTAGCATCATAGGACTCAGTCAGTTACGATCCCTTTGTTTGGATCGGACTATGTCAACCCTGTTCAGTGACTTCTCCGAGACAGAATTGGGTTGCCAATGTTGCCTAGTTCCTAGGCCTCCATATTTGACCTCCGTCAATCGTTTTCGGGTCACGTGGTCCGAGGCGGGCCATTCGTCTCGGATACGTCACCGAAATCAATTGAGCGTGAACGCTCGGGTAAAAGTCGAACAGGAACTATGTACCATGTGGCACTAAATTTTTGCGGGAGTTTATGTTTTCGAATCGCCAATATTTTGTATTTTGCGAGAACTAATTTTTGCCATCGTAAAAGGCTGGTTTTTCTTGCTGGGTATTAATTTTTGCGATTTTCGGGAAGTCGCGTTCAAGTGAAACAACTTGAAACAACTTGTAGAGATGTAAAACACACTAATCCAGTAGTCAGTTTCACTCTATAACAATTACATGGTGACTGGTGCTTTTATGTGGCTGATGGAAGCAACAAGGTCATCTACTTGTGATGTTTGTATGTGTAATTTCGCCAGTGTAGTAAATATTTGCGGAAAAAAGTTTTGCGAGAACTTTTGCTTTGCGGATTGTGGAAAAACCGCAAAAATCGCACAGTTTAGAACCCGCAAAAGTTAAGTGCCACATGATAGACAAATACCAATGAAGAGAGATCTTGACTTCGTCACAGCTGTCACCATTCCAGTATCTGGGGCGTAACTGTACACTTCCTATTCTTATCTTATACCAAGACCACAGTCTGTTGGACGCTTGGCCGTGGGGATCTGATTTCGAGATCATTTTATTCCTTATTGGGTGGGCCAAGGAAACATTCTGAAGGATCTCCCAAGGTTAATATACCAAGAAAAGGTATATCAGTATTTTCCCAACCTTCCTAACTATTTATTTCATTCTGGCTTATTCTCTATGGCACCAGGATTGCCTTCGACAAAACTAAACCAACAAGTACTCTCGCTCAAAACGTATTTTCTCCAAAAGTTCCAGCAGTGGCTGACATATTTTTTCTATAAGACGAGTCCGTTCGGGAGGCGACTCGCCTCTCCATTTGTCAATGTTCGCTTTAGAATCCCTTACTAACGAGTACGGTTTCTTGAACTGTGAAGGGGCTTCGATTGAGTGGTCTGGATTTGTCCTTTCTAGGATCCACTTCAAAGTCTTGTCAGACATATTAAAACCTGCAAACTTGAAGAGTTCTCGAGCCGTATCAACCGGTCTGGCTGCGATATCCCGGTATGTAATAAGTTTGTATCTGTGTTTGAGAGACTTGTTGAGCTGCTGGCCAAACTCAATGTTTTCAACTATTTCATCACAATGTGTTTGAACCTTTTGCTCAAAGGTTGCATTTTTGTAATCCGGCATCCAACCCACTCTTATTCTTGAATTGATATTTGCCCTAGGATCACGTACCACGTGCAATAATCGGATATCAGCATTGTCTGTGCGGTCTATAATTTCTGGTATCACACTTGACAATCGTTTGTGTGGGAGGCGATCAGAAAGCTCCTTAACAACCGTGTTGTCAAAATTCTGTCTGCATTTATCAAGAAATCCTCGAAACAGTCTACCAGCAGGAAAACAACGCTTTCGTCCACTCCGGTATTTTACGCAGGCCAAGTTTTTGCTCGGTTCGACGTAGTATTTCGTCTCTTTTATGTACCAAAATGGTGGAAAATAGTCTTTTTTCCATAAATTACTTGGTTTAAACCTGCAGGAGAGGAATGCCTGCAGAACTTGTAACTTCTCGACGTTTGTAAGGTAGTGAAATCGCAACGGCTCGTAAACCTCGAAAATCTGTGGAGACAATTCAAGATGTAAACATACCGTAGTCAATCGAAAATATGCCAGAGTCCCTATTGTATTCTTTGACCTCTCTTAGCCTCCCACAAACGTGGGGGAGGAACGCGCGACGAGCCCTAAGAGCGTTTGCGTGGGAGGCTAGTGCAGCGCTTATTCAAGGCTGGCGCAGGACGGCGCGTAATAAAAAAATGCGGGGTATCAGTGAACTGTCCAATGTGAGGCTTTCTTCGTCACTTTGCTTGTAAATTCACGTGAGTAAATGTAAAATTTAAATGGAAATATTAAATCACTAGATACACAAACTATTTTAACAGTAATAGAAATAAAACATTTTGAAACCGCGTTTTTGTGTCTTGCATACCTTATTTTGTCTCCAACAAGAACACACAAACGCACAATAAACATCAATAAAGTCATCTGTCTCTTTTAGCCGGGAGGCCTTGGCATCAATTCTAATGTTTTTATTCTTATGGAACTTA